AATCAGGATCAGTTTGAATGAGAATGTTTTTATAGAAATAAACCCATCCGAATAGTGTGTATACTGAACATCAGTTAAGCTTGGAAGAATTCGATTCTCGTTTTATTGCATAAAATGTAAGTAGGTAAAATGATTTAACGATAAATAATAAATCCTATTGTTCTTTATTTTATTAGTTGGGTGGTTTTATTATTAATAATTATCACTTTTAATGCTAAAAAATTCAGTTAAGAGTGTCCACACTTCATGCAAATACATCAATACATGGATATGTCCTAATAATTATATGACTATTTCTGATCTGTAATCTCCTCGCGATATATGATGGTAGTAGAGTCTTAATTATAATATGTTCTGACCAAACGTTTTTTAGTAGTTTTATAATATCTGACCTTAATCGATTTACAGGCAACATTTATCAATATTTAACATTTCTCATAAATCAATTTCCGTGGTTCGCCAGTAAGTAAGTGTAGGCACAAATGAATATGACTATCCTTATATATCTAATCTATTTATGTAAAATAATATCTTATCTCTAATCTCTTATATCTTATCACCACATACAGGACTGGAAACGACACTCATATCAATGGAACCAAAGTACAACGCTTGCTAGTACAAAGACGCTCTTAACGCCATCTATAGATCAGTCAGTAATTGCACACAAAAATACTAAACAAAACAAGTTTAATACAATATAATATTCACTATTATACATTATATTTAAAGTAACTAATTTTGCTAATTTTTTCTTCTTCGAATTAATTTTGTTTAGGTTTTTATTTTGTATGTTTGTCAACTGTCTCATCCTTGTAGTAATAGGTATAATATTTACGAATGAACATCAGTACTTCATTCTTATGTTCTTCACAAGGACATGTAAGTACACTGGCGTTATTGTTTAACACATCATCAAATGTGTCTTGAAAGACACCTCTAGCCTCCGTACAATGTTTTAAAAAAGAGTTTTCTATTGTAGTTATTAATTTATGAAAATGTTCATTTATTAATTGCCTCTGGATTTTAAATTGGTAAACGCAGATTCGGATTTGCTTGAATGAGTCTTTCCTAAAAATATTAATTTACACTAAATCGTCAGGTAAAAAATGATTTTGACACACAAAATTTGCCACTGAACTTTTGCCATTCGCCTTTGAAATGGTTTGATTTGGAAAACATTTTTTCCTTGGGGCATTTAAATAGAGTTCATTTTATTGTATTGTTTAAAACACTTTTACATAAATGCACGCTACATTTGCGAGGCATTTTCAAAAATGTATAAAAATATTACTAAATTTTCTCATTTTTGTCGGCCTTATTCCCGCCAATTCCGTATTAGGTTAGGTTAATCCACGGATCTTAATATTCTATTAAATATTTATCAGTTCTTTCATTCAAAAAAACAACCGCTAGATCGCGCCACACGCACAAATGTTCTTCGATAACGTTCAGCGTGATCCACAGATTTTTTTTATTGACCCCGAGCCAAAAGACATAATATCCTTGTCGAAAAAAAAAATGGCAGTTAAGTACGCAGTCCATTTTTATAGTTGCCTCCAATGAGTCACATCAAAATCCTTTTAGTAAACATAAACAAATATGGTATTATCAAGGAATATAATAGGGAGAGAAGCAACTTTATTTTAAAAAAATCAAGCGGGCTGCCTAAAACATAGGTTGCCATATAAGACAGCATACTAGATCAATACAATAGTACATAACACAATTTTTCTTTTAACATTGATGGAATAAGTATATTAAATGACATGCAATTAATTAAAAAATGATTGTAACAGTGCTTACATGTGGTTAAATGTAATGTCTAATAAACAAAACATTTACTATATATATGTGTGCTTGCTGTTTAATATTTTCTACAGTTTTTTAAAGATCAATCATATTGACAAACGTTAAGCTATTATAAATTCATATTTAATTAACTACATAATAATAAGCTATAAAATAATTTGCATTTAAATAATACTATTATAAAAAGTCCTCGGAGACTGTTGAAATTGCACTTCACCGAAAGCAATAAGAACAAAATAATGATTGACGTTCGTCTGTACGAATTCTCTTTGAAGATTCAAAAACTCTTCTGGGGTGTTTGTGTCTGGGTCAAAGTTTTCCAGGTCAATATCACCGATGTCCACGAACCCATTTAAGTAACTATACGTGTCCATAAATCTATTACTCGCGTGTTGAAATTTGCCACAACCGTAGAAGTAATAATAAATGTACGCACGTACGATCGAATTATTCCGCTTAGTTCTTCGATCGGTATACGAGGTATGGAAAGTTGATAGAATTTTAGATAGATTTTATTCATAGCCGGCAGAATGAGCCCTAGCATTTTCCGGGGTGTTGGCGATAACTCCACAATGTCACGGGCGTACAGAAATATTTTGGTAAGGAGGAATGCGCCAACGCTCTCCACGACGTTTACTACTCTTAACAATAACTCCGGTAACAGATGTCGTCCCAAATTTCGAACAAAGTCCTATCGACAACCTGCAGGTGGTAGTCCACAAATTTCGCAGTACCTTATGCCCGACTAACAGAGCTTGGCTTTTGTTTGTCAAAGTGTAAATAGTTCCATTGCGCATTTTTAAATCCATAAACCTGCAGCATAACATGAGCAGCTGCATCACATCACGTACTTGTAAATGGTCAATTTCCACTGGTATTGTGATACTGTTAACAAACAGCTTTGGCGACGCACACAGACAAAACGTTATTATAATTATTTTAACGAAAACACACATATTGAAAACTTGCAAAATTTCCCGATGACTGACGAACAAAAAACGTTTAAATAAATAAACAACTGTTTAACTGGTCGCAATAAGTAGGTACTTATTTATTTATACCGTTTCAATATATATATATACTGCGCTTGGGTAGTCGATGAGATTTACTTCAGAACATTAAAATTTTAAGTTTGTCGAAACGAAAATAATAATTTTCTAAAATAAATATTGACATAATTTATAACCATACAATTTTCGTAGAAAATGCAACAAAAAACCCAATTCGCTTTTACGGAAACTTTAACAAATAAGCGATTGAGCTATAAAACAAATATCATATAAAATTACAAAAGATAAATAATTCATCAAATTAAACCTAACCATGCTTTGAACGACTTTATGTGTGCTGTTAGTAAATTGTAGAGACTGACAGCGGCGGCTTGTTTTCCATGTTTCAGCCAGATACTTGAGCTTACCTGAAGACGGTAAGTACATGCAAATTGTATTATTGATAAACTTCACATTAGATATAATATGTAATTAGAATTTAATAGTATGGCGTAATATGTTAGTTCATTAGAGTAATTGAATGCAATTGAATGGAAACAAATTTGAGGCTCCATCTGAGATAATATAAATCCCGAATAAGTATATAGGATAAAAAGTGTATTATTTAAAAACAAAAAAGAACTACATCATTATTTCATATGCCACATAAAAAACTGTACAAAACTGGAAAACAACCCATAACCACTCTATTAACTCTACCTGACTCTGAAAATTAAAGATAAATAGAAAAGTCGATACAATTTTTATAAAACAGCGACTCTTAAAACGTATAAGTCAGTGTGTAAACTATTTTTTAAGCAGCTTTCGGAAAACGTATCTCGTTCGAGGGGAGGTGAAAATGTTTGCTCTGGTAGTATAATATTTAGTCAAATTTACTGTGATATAATATTGTGGTTGGCCCCGTTGGTATAGTCGATACCGACAAAACAATACACACCTGCGCCAAGGTTTGTCACACATAATTATCTATGGATCTTCTATTATAAAATAAGAATTTGAAAATACCGTTACAATCGTTTTTCTTCCAAGGAACTCAATCGGCTAGAGCTATTATATTGTGAAAAGTAAACGGTTTTCTCCGTCTTCTGGCCGTTTTTTTTATTTATTAATTTCCCTTTTTAAATATTTGACTTCTATAGATCCGTTGGACGGGGCAAAGATCTAAACCGGTCTACCCCGTTACTGACTTGGGTGAGTCTTATATAAATTACAAGCGTGGCAGGTGAATTACGTTACCCCCATGTCTAATATAACCATACGCTAGTGACAGTAGTGGGACTATCGGTTGTAAATGGGCTGGATACGAGAAATTTCGCGTTACACCACAGATTAAATAAAACCAGATAGTGCACTCCATTGTAAAACAAAAGATTTTTGATTTGTTTAAGCTTAATGCAGTAGGGCTGAATTATAGTGCCGAAACTATTGTAAACGCTATTTATAATAATAACGTACACTGATAAGAAGTACTGATAACAAGTATTTAGGTAGGCGAAGGTATTGAAAGCAAACGGTTTTCTGATAACCGTTTTGGCGATGTTTTAATGTGAAAATTGTTAAATGTTCAATAAAATATTTGCTCGTATCAGTAAACAGCATTTTCAGCAGTTTGGAATGTTTGGTACCTTTGGATAATGCAAATCATTTTAGCGGTAAGCTAACAATCCGTATCAGTCTAAACATTATCAGCACATATCAGTAAACATGTTTGCTTTTGGTACCACCGCGAATATAACATAACACGTAGAATATTTATTTTCATATATTTTGATTCAGATCTATGGATCTCAGTTGTTTGGATAGCTTATTGGTGACATAATTAAGAAGGATTTTCTCATCCCTCGAATAAATACAATAGCATAGTATAGTGTAGGAAAATTATTTTTTTTCTCTTTAAAAAATAATATTATTATGTGAAGATTTAACAACACTTATCGTTCGCTATATTGTTCTTGTTCTGTGCGATTTATAGCGTATAAAAATATATCGTTATTTTATTTCACATAAGTAAATTGTATGCAGTATTTTTCTGGATCACACTGTGTTTACAACTGTGCATTTGGGTCAAAGAACATATTTTCTTAAGTACCTGTATAATATGTGAATCAAATAAAACGAAAAACAACTACCTACCAATATTTTATATGTGTTGTTTTTGTCAATCGCACCATATGAAAGATACCTCGAGTCGAATCAAATTTCACTGTTCATCCGAATTTGGTATCGAAGACTTACTTTTGGTTCCACAAAGTGTTTGACAAAAAAACTACCATCATGCATTTCAAAACTGCTGTTATCCTTTTCGCGTTGTACTTTGTGACCGCGACACAGGTAAAACCACATGAAAAAAAAAAAAAGTTGGTCGTTAATAGTGTGTATTAATATTATTGTACTTATTATGATTTATAGAGTGTCGGACTCAATATGAGACAAATAGAAATTATTGATTATCTATTCACAATACACTGTGTAGGAAACATTTTCAAGGGAGAAAACGTGGAAATAGAACTAAGAAATTGCATGAAAAATTTTTCACATTCCGAAAACGAAGAAGGTAATAAAGTGTCTTTAAAACAGTTATTAAACTTTTCGGTTGTAATCGAATGTTTTAAACAGATTTGTATTGTATTCACAGAGCACGAAAATTGTATAGACGACAGTTCAATGGAAGATATCGTGAAAATGGGACTAGAAATTAGCATGAATAGTATTTTAGATTTTGAATACAAAGAAGGTAAAAAAGTATCTTTTAAACAGGGCTTAAACTTTTCGATTGTAGTAAAACGATACTTAAAAAAAAATAGTCTGTAAAAAATAATATCCGTCTTTCCAGTATTTAACAACTGGTCATTGTTTTCCATTTTATTGTTAACTATAGGCAGGACTGACGCTCAACAAGTACAAGATCTTTTGGTATTTCTGGCCAATACCGAAAAGAAATTTGATGACTTCACGGTAATAACGAACCATTTTTTTCGAAATACTCTGATTTTCTTATGTCAATTCACGTTTTTAGTCACAAAGTTTTTCGTCTTACGAAATAACAGTTTTCGTGGGCTTGTTCAACAAATGCGACCAAAGCGGCAAACACGATGGTCTACTTGACTACAAAGAAGTAATACAAGTCATTGACGCTTTAAACCTAGAAAAATGCGTCAAAGAAAATTTAGAAGGCGCATTTGAAGAAGGTATTATCGAGTTAACGAAACGGTCTACTTATTTTGCCAAGGTTGATAATTAAAATTTTTATTTTTATACAAGATGAAACATTTAACGCCGCCGAGTTCTTGTATGAATTTTTGAAAGTAAAACCAGAAGTAAGGATTCATGGTTTCGTTAAAGGCTTGACGAAATACACACATTTAATGGTTTACATGATTTGAATACTTGTACTCAGGGCAGAGGTCTAGAAATGTATCAGGTTCAGGAGATGATCGATTTGCACAAGAATCACAAAATAAAAGGCGATCACATTGACCCGGTTGAAATAAAAAATATGTTCACGAAGTTGTCTATAGTTAATGATGACTACGAAGGCCTGTTGGTTTTCCATCCCAATCCCACTCGTAAGAATATATTTTTTAACTTGTCTCGTTTGTTATTAATATTGGTCTTGTTATTAATGTTTTGTTTTAGGAAAGGGCCCTTTGGAGTTGCAAGAGCTGTTGATTGTTTTAGCAGAATACAACAAAGTGGCCGACATAAATGTAATTATTTACAATTTTATTAACATTGGCTTTTTTACGCTTTTATGAGGACGCACCCACCCGTTTATTAAAAGAGTACAGACTAGTGCCCGTGAATCTTAAACGTGTAATTTAAATACACGTGTACAAGAAACCCGTGTAATTTACATACACGTGTATTTATAAATACACGTGTATTTAAAAAAATGTATTTTGTCAAAAATTTTAGTTTGAGTTAACGTACTTAAACAATTATACTTGTGTTTGAGTTCGTATAATTAAATAGACGTGATATTAAACGTAAAACTAAAATTAATAACAAAAATATTTTTTTTTGAATACACGTGTACTTATAATTACACGTGTATATACACGTGTACGTTAAGTACACGGGTTTCACGTGTGATCGAATACACGTGTAATAGGGACCTCTAGTACATACGTATGGGAATATTTTTTTTTATAAAATCTTAATTTAGAGCTTAAACTATCCATTATACACTTTTCCATACCAATAGATAGCAAAATTAAATGCGCTTAGTTTTGTTTTTATTAATGTTGTTTAATTATCAAATTTATACATTTCGTTGCATAAATAGTGGTATTTACATTTACAATGAAAACTTTATAGTACAATCCTATTGAAAGTAAAAAATGTGATTTGTATTCCTGAACAATTTCAATTCTGTGACTTACAACAATTGTGCACTTAGTAGCCACCGATGTGTGCCCCCTTTGATTTTTCTATGAAAATTCGGTGAACTCAATACTCCACAGCCATGAAGAGCGAACGGGTAGCGTTCTCTTTAGCACTACATAATCTAAAAAGGTACTTAAATTACTTTGTTGATTTCTCAGGCTAAAGCCGTATGTCCTACAATTATAGTTAGAAGTGTTGTATGGGATTTCTCTGAGCACGACGTCGACCAAAACGGTGAACTCGATAAAAAAGAATTTGAGGAAATGGCGAAACATCTAACCACAAACAAAGACGTCGACTCTCTCATTAGAGACAACGATACCGACAGTAATTATTCCGAATCAGTCTTAATTTTTGATAACCATCATAGGTAGGTAGGACTAGCATAGAGTAGGATTTAAGAGGTTTTGTGTGTGTGTAGATATTTTTACAGCTAAAACTAGTATATGCCTAAAAAACGGCGGAGAAAGGAGTGATTTTAAAATAATAATTATACAAACTATTCTCGTCGGAAAACGATTGCTGATGTTTCCATACTAAATATTATATCATAGTGGTTAAAATGTTTAAGTAGATCTAGAGACAAAAAAAAACTGAACTTGTTTACTAAACATTATGCACTTTTTAGAAGACGGACATTTGGATATTACGGAGTTCTTCATGTTGATATTTACGGAATTGGTGAAATGAAAGCCGATTACCCATGATTTTCCTTAAGCATAATCAGTTTTAAATTTGATGTTTTATGATTCTTTTTTAAGCTGTATAACTGTACATGTATATTTGAATTTAATGCTTTTATTGAATACATAACAATAATAATTCATATTGATAAAATACGATTTGTTGTTAAATATACAATGTAATACCGTTAAAATGATGTTTTTACTTAGAAATCATTATAATTTTTCATTGTCGGCGAGCTTTAGGTTATTAGTGTGCTTGATCAATATTCGAATAAGAATGTGCTCTCTTCGTGATTTTACTAAGCATATACATTTAATACTTTGTAGGTTAATACGGATGTGCCTATACACTTTAATAATAATATATTTATCCAAGAGTATTAATAATTCCATTTTATTTTCTTCTGTAATATAAACAACTGAATTCGAAGTAAATACGATCGATTTTTTTATTTATAGTGTTGTTTTATTTGTGCATTGGTACAATGTTATCGTTGTACTTAACTTATGACATATAATCAGAAAACATTTGAACCTTCAATTACATACAGTGAAAACTACGTTTTGAGTGCAGTAGTCAGAAAAAACGGTATATAAATTAATTCATTCATATAAGTCAATAATAGGAACATTAAAAATATCCATGTAAAACAATTTTTGAAGTAAAAAAGAAACATGTATATAATAATAATAATGGTCGGCGCTTAGACTACTAGAAAATGAGCCTTATCTCTATTACGCCTGGTCTTTATATAAATATCAAACAAATAAAAACGTATACCTAAAATGATAGGCACAGTGTCAGTTTGGTTCTACCTACGTAATCAACCTGATTTTAACCGTAGTTTTTGGAATTAAAATTAGACTTAAAGTAGCTGCAACCAAAGCACACTGTATAGTGTAAAGCTGCTACATGTAAAAATGGTTATATATTTATTCTATCAGAAAAACAATTTGCAGGGACAAAAAATACTGCGAAAACTTGAAAACCAATAAAATGCATAATACTATAACAACTAATGGGAGTATATCGAAAGAAATATACACTGTTTTTCAGTGAAATGATTTAACATTCGAAACATTTGTACAAATAAGAACAATTACAGCAACTGCAGAAAACACAAAAACAATTTCATTTTAACGGTATATGAATAGATTTTTAGTTCAAACCTACGCGCCGATAAAATATCTGTTTATACTTCATAGAAAATATTTTAAGAGTTTTGAAAACTTCAACCGATACTCAAGTATATATTCGGTTCAAAACCAGGTTTGAAAATTCAAAAGCCTAAAATATAGGTTAGACACATCATCGGAGGCGATATTTTCTATACAAATCCATAGGCGTAGCTTGGGCAAGAGGGCTAGCCCTTTAGCTTAGCACCTTTAGTATCTAGAATAGCTCAAAGGCAATATAAAAAAATGTACCGTATTTTCTATAAACTTCATTGTTAATTTAAAATAAAACGAAAGTTTACTAAATAAAATATAAAAACAATATAATATTATATATTATTTATGTCTAAATTGGACACTGCCGTTCGATGGAATGAAAATAAACTAATACTAAATAACAGTCTTAACGTTTTGATGGAATTTAAAAACAATTATTATACAATTTACATTGTCGTTTTTTTCTATACTTTAACTAAAAACGTTTTCTATTAAAATATATTTAAAAAAAAGTTTATAACAGTTCATAAAATCTAAAAGCTATATTAGAGATATCAACAAACTCAACATTTACTAAAACCTATTAATTCAAACGTAGATATTTATTTAAAAAAAACTAACAATAATAAACCAATTTATCTACCTAAAAAATTGCAATGCCCATAAAACATCATTGTATGACAAAAACACAAAATTATTCACATAGGTCGTTTTTTTCGTAATTTTAGAAAATCGCCAATAAGTGAAATGGGCAATGCAATTCTATAGACCCTGTATTTGTCGACGTTAGGTGTACATTATTTTAACGCAAGCTCAATATGGGTATCCGAATAATGTTCTCAGTCTTTTAAACGTGCAAAGAAATTGTATATGAACTATTTTTTCGTTTATGTAAACAGTGGAAATGGAAACACACATCAACTCACGCTAGTGTTTTCCTAAGGTAAAAAATTGTATTTTCGGGTTAAGTAAATTCCTTGTGCTTTTCCAGAAAATAACTAAAGTAAAAAATATCCGTTTATCGATTGACATGAATACATTATTATTTTGTTTTTCGCCTCCACAAGAAAATGGGTACTCTTAATCGAGTTTTTTCAATAAAACAACAAATAGTTTTATGTCATTATATAATGATAATACTTTTTCGGTTAGTATTTTTTTATCAGACTTTAATAGCTGTTACCCTTAAAGTTAGGATCATAACTAAAAAACACGAAATAAATGATTTTGTTTAATTTTTTTTAAAAGTACAATTTTTTTTATCACAACCGAAATTTCACGGTTATGAAAATGTCAAGATTTATTATAGAAAATGTGTTTTACATATTTTCGCTTAAACAAACTAACCATTTATGATGTTCTGAAGTTTTAATTAAAAATCTACTATCCAAGCGCAGTATCGAAATTGAGAAACGGTAAAAAAAAATACTTATTGCCATCAGTTACACCACCACCGCAGAAGAAAACTATAATTTATTGTAAGATTTTTAGAAACCTTTTTACTTGACCGTTTTTTGTCCATTAGTTGTCGGCCCATTTTTGTTAGTTTTCAACATGTGTGTTTCCATCAGAATAATTATAATAACGTTTTGTCTATGTGTGTCGCCAAAGCTGTTTGATAGTATAACGATACCAGTGGAAATTGATACCTTACATGACGTACGTGACGTGTCGGATTTGCTCATGCTATGCTGCAAGTTTATGGATTTGAAAATGCGCCGTGGAACTGTTTACACCGAGACAGCCCAAAGCCAACTGCGTACGGGTAGGTTCCATAAAGGTACTGCGATTTTTATTGACTACAGACTGCAGGTTGTAGATAGGACTTTGTTGGAAATATTCGAAGACATGACGGTTCCACATATGTTACCGGAATTGTCGTTAAGAATAATAAATGTTGTGGAGAGTGTTGGCGTATACCTCCTTATTAAAATAAGTACGGTAGTCCGTAACATTGTGAACTTACCTCAAATACTCCGTAGGCTGTATGCGACCAGTCTACTATCCATTTTGGAAAAAATCAATGCAAAATTCTTCATACTGTCCATTTCTCGTACGCCGATCGAAGAGCTAAGAGGAATCATTCGAAAATGCACCTACACTACTGATTTTACTCCTACATACGCCGCATACTTGGAAAACGTGTCTATTATGTTTAAGAACATGTATAGACACTTGGATAGGTTCGTAGACATAGGAGATGTTGACTTGACCAACATTAACCCAAACAATCTAGATAAGTATTTAGATGTTCAAATGGAATTCATACAGACCAACGTCGCTAATTATTTTAAGCCTATTCCATTGCCTCTACGCCAATGAAGTGCAGTAGCTACATCTTCCAAGGATTATTATAATTTTCATATAATAACAGTATTTATTAATTACAAATTATGTTTTCGCTTATTATTATGTATTTGATTAAAGATTTACTATTAATTTTAAAAATTTAACGTTGGTCAATATGTTAGAACTCTAAAAACTGTAGAAAATATTACATAGCACATAATATATGTAAAGTTTTTAAAATATACAATAAGTTAATTTTTATTTATTAAAAATCACATTTAGCCATCCGTGTAAGCGCTATTACAATAGTTTCGAATAAATTGTATGTCGTTTAATATGTCTTTTTTTTTTGGGGCAATAAAGATGTTACTTACTTCATTATAACAACCTAATTCATGAAATAATCAACAAAAGAGTTATTATTTATCGTTGAATCGTTTTTCCAAATTTTTTTTTTTATATATAATAAGAGTCTAAGTTAAAATGTAAGTAGTTAAGTAACTACACGTCGAAAACTGAAAAATTCGAGTGCACATTTTTTCATAAATTATAGATTTTTATATTTTAGAATATTAGTTAAACACTCCTTTTTCAACTCTTTCCTCGTCAATAGGATGAACCCAAAATGTGCGGCTACTTATGGATTCATTTAAAAATGCTGCCACAGCCATGTCTTCCAAGTGCTCTTCAAAATCACTATCAGAAGGACTCGAGTAACCCATAATTATTAATAGTATGGGTATAGGTTCTCCAATTGAAATGCAAAACGGTACTGACGTATAACTGGGTGTTTTCTCCTCTCAAGCCTCCAAGCGAAATTCTATTGTCTAAATAATGTTATCAATTACGCCTATTGTACGTACAAACTGTATAGGTTGTGCAATGTTCTGAATAAAAGATAAAAAGGTATTATACGTGATCGGTTGCGTTGTATTTGTGTGCACAACATCATCACACGGCGTGACGTGTAAGGGCGTGTTAACAAGTGTCGTGTTATTCGTGTAATGCGCCATCTTCAAATGCAATCTTATCAATATACAACTATTGAAGTACATTTAAATAGATACGAGAAGATCAAAACAAAATGTTTGTCAATGTGTAAATTTGACTTTTACGGAATCGAGCCGATCGTTAATGGTAAACATGTTTAGTGCACGAAAAATAACGATAGAACCATTAATTTTCTTGTACTTTATGGCTACTACTTTGTCGTCTAATCTGGCCACTGACTTGCTTTTGTCCAAAGCGCGCGTGCCAAACACAGCCGAAGGTATGTCGTATATTTGGAAAACGTGTGTATTATGTTTATAAACAAGTATAGATACTTGGATAGGTTCGTAGTCGTAACTCTACCGATTTGCATCAAAGCATTTTTTCGAAATTGATTTAAAAATTTCTGTAAACCTGTGACTCTGCGTCCCCACTATGCTCCGCAACTATTATGCACCGACCCCACTGTACTGGTTTTTTTTCTTTTATTACATCCATAAAAAAATATATATAATTTCATGATTATAGAAATGTCAATATTTATTATAGAAAATGGGTTTTAAATATTTTCGCTTGAACAAACTTA